TTTCATCGCTGGTAAACAGTGAAGAGGTAAATGTATAAAACAACGTTTATGAATGGCGAAAGTTTTGTAACCGTTTGTTACAAATCAGTAAATGTATTTTGTCCTCACAGGCTCACAAGTCAACCTTTGTTTATGTATAGCACTTTTAAATGACAACACTGTTACCCCAAAGTGTTGCACAACAGTAATAATAATAAAAACGAATAAAATGAAATTTAAAACATGACAACGCATCATAAAATAATAAAACCACAAGGAACTAAAAACAGAATATGTTACACAAGTTTAAAATAAAGCTGCTTTCTGGAGTTTTCCCCCTTCAGAAACGATGTATGATTTTTCAGAAATGCGTAAAAGTGATAATCTCATCATGTACTGTGATAAAATGTAAGTGATACGTCTTTTTTTTTTTTGCTAAGCATGCCACCTGCCCCGCAGAGCTCCATGCAATAAGAAACTGAGCGCCGACCAGAACTAACCAATAGCGTTTGACTACCGCTTAGATGCTTCAAATTTAAGGAATACCTCGGCTGATGCAGCGCTAATGAACTTTTCACGGACAAGTAAGTCTCTAAAATATAAATATATGAGAGCACAACATGACATGAGAAAAATACTCATAAAACAGCATGTTTTAGTGCTGTTTGTCAGCTACAGAAGCACATTTATAAACAGAAATGTGAAGTCGCCATCTTTAAAAAAACAGAGCAACAGATTTTTTTGTGTGACATGCTTGTCAGCCACTAGATGGTGCCATCGGATAAGAGAAATACTCCGGAAAGAAGCTTTAAGATAAGCTATCGCAGATAAAAATGTAAAGGATGTAAGAAAACCCTGGGTTACTTTATTGTAAAATATCCAATCTTGGACAGAAGGAAACATGGTGTCTAATATGGCGTCACACACAGACACAAGCCCGGTCCATTAAGGTTTTATATGTTACGAAGCCCCCCGATATTTTTCAACAACTGGGCATCATTTAATTCATTTTCAACATTTTGATGGATATTTCCAGAGATAACAGTAAAAACTACACATTGTCTCTTTAAGATATTCAGCCAAGTAGGACCTATATAAGTAAGCCCAAGTAAAGGGCTCATTAGTGAAAGTTTTTTTTTATTTGTATTATTGAGTCAATAAAAAACAAACAATTTGTCATTTTTATAATTCTAAACAACATTTGGTCTCAACTGTGCTTGTTGCAGCTTTATGTATTCTTGACTAAACTGATTCACCTCTGTGAACTTCATTTATGCTTGTTTTTAAGTTTTTCTGGCTGATGTAAAAGCAGCCCTAATGTGAAGGCTCGCAAGCAGCAGAGTGGAATTTGGTTGAGTCACTTCAGCCAAACTAAATGCCCCGGCTCTGTTACAGCAATTCAAGAAAGGCATCCGAATGCAGCAATGCAGTTTTCCCCCCTTTACTCTCATTCACTTGGACAGCCGATGACGTTCGCTTGCCTGGTCTGGAATTTACGTCTACTGCCAGCGAGAGTTGTGAATGGGGTGGCAGGCAGACACTGCTGCTCTCTCTCTCTCTCTCTCTCTCTACACACACACACACACACACACACACACACACACACACACACACACACACACACACACACACCTCTTTCTCTCCCTCTCTCTCTCTCTCTCTCTCTCTCTCTCTCTCTCAGCTCAGGGTCTACTGCACCAATCTTGCTCACATCACAGTGGCTACGTTCAGGTTACGTTTAAACAAAGATATTCATCCCCACACCCTGAAGCTTTTAACACACACACACACACACACACACACACACACACACACACAGATCCGCAGTACACCCTGGTATTAGACCTTGCTCTGCCTGCATGTACCACTAAAAAGGTTAAACAAAAGTGATCCCCCAAAAAAAACCAACAAGATCCATAAAAGACCTGAATAATTGTTTTTTTTCCAATATGCTGGGAATTACTAATTCCTCAGAGATCAGCATTAATATCTGTATTCCCTGCTGCTCTGGCGAGGTGAGCAGAACTGGAGCCATCAGATGATTCTCAGATGACCACACCGGAGGGGTGTTTCATTTCACTGCATACTCATTGCCCATAAACTCTCTTCTGCAGAGATTGCAGCTTGGATGGCAGTAGCCCACTCAGTTTGTTATGTAACAATCAATTTGATTAAATAGCTTATGGCCTGCATCAAACTGATAGCGTGTGTAACACCACTTAGTTTTATGTAAGACAGTGATTGAACTCGGATGTGGACAGTGCAGCTTTTATATTTTTGCTTGGATATAAAAATAAAAACAAAAGGAAACTGAACACGAATTTCCTTTGATTCCAGATCATTTTAATCTCAGTGTAATCCTGAAAAGCAGTGACCATTGGCAGGATCTTGGTATTAAACCCTGATACAGTAGACCCAAAGAGCAGTGTGAGAGCTGATAAAGGGACACTAGTAGCCTGGGTATATCAATAGTTTCTCTTATTGCACTGCTTTGCTGCAATTTACATTGTTTTATGCATTTCAGACGTACAAGGATGCTGGCACAAATAGGCCCAAGACCGCAGAGTAAACTGGACCTTCCTGCTGCTCCTAGCTTAGAGCATTTTAACTGGGCAGTTCAAGCTCAAGATGTTCTGTGCCTAAACCAACAAGGATAAACAGGCTTTATTTGCATTTGTATGTGGTTTGAAATGAAACCTGTGTTTGCTCTGCCATTCACACGAGGGAAACACACGGGACTTCCTACCAGCACACAGGGCTCTCTGGCACTGGGCTGTGTAATACAAAACCTCTAATGATTCTCACTGGTAAACGATTCAACCAGTAATGGACTCACAACAACCTGCGACATGTTCAGTGAGCACACAGCAACAAATCTGTTGAGTCAGTCTCACATGGACACATTTACAGAGGCTGATAGAGCCGCGCTTCAGCCTAAAGACTCATCAGCCTTTGCCTCTCTCCCTCACATGGTCAGGATGAGTGCTGATGGAGCAGCGGGGACAGCTACAGCTCATTAACTGCTCTTATTCATTCATGAAGCTTGATTCACCCAGCTCCAATTGTACAACGGTACCGTAAAACAAACATCAAGCCTGACTCACACAAAGGTTCGGACAGCACTTGTATAGCCCCATCAATGCCAGTAAAACCCTCTCTTCAATCACCGTCTCGAAAGACGAATTATGTCACTACTCAAATGGAGCAGCTGAAGACTATCGCCTGTGTCACTCCGGAAGCTGCTGCCACATGGAAGCATCTTGTGTATGCACTTGTGAGAATGTTGACAACAAACCTCTGTCACTTCAGATTTGTGACATTACAGGACAGTGTGATTAATTCAGAAAAGACAGATGTGTGCATCATCGAGGAACCTGGTGTTTAATTTAATCAGAGACTGATTCCAGCACCTTTCCAGCCCAAATACATTTAGAAGGAACTAAAATTTGCTTTAGAACACTGTTTCTAAATAAAGGACAAAATGCAAATAAAAGTCAAATGAAAGGATTTGCACATTACTTAAATCCTGCAGGCCAGTTTGTGACTATGTTCAGTCCACCATAAACATTTTTGCACCTTAATTAGCTGAATGGCTTCATGTTCAGCATCAGTGCTGCTTTCACAGAGCATCATTAGTTTCATTATTATTTTAAGTTTTAGAGACTGGGTTCACTCATGGTGATAATCACAACTAACATTGGTTTTCATTCTTGGGACTGGCTGATAATAGGATTTTTTTTTCTTTTCCGGGGATCTATCAATGGTAGTTTTCACTTTAGATGATAAGAACATGACTGCACCAAAGGGAGACCCGGGGGATCCATTATCAGCTCTAAAAAGTGCTTCTTTCCTTTGATGTAAAGAAGTTGAGTACAACACTAATAGGCCTGCTGCAGAAGGTGTTTCCCTTACTCTTATATAAACAACAGTGTAATAAATTTCCTGAAATTTTATTCTGGATTTTCGTTTAGGTGGGCCCCATCACCCCCAACTTGTTGAAAGGTTTTTGCAACAGTGCCTCTCTAAACTTCCCCAATTCATCTCCACATTGCTGGAAGAAAACAGTGTTTCCAAATCAGGAGAATATAATCACACACACACACACACACACACACACACACACACACACACACACACACACACACACACACACACACACACACACACACTATTTTCAACCCTATCTGCATAATTAAATGTAAAGAAAGTTGAACATTTCTATAAGTTTAGAAATAATTTTTGTTAAATTCTTTATTATTTTCAGTTTTGATCCAGTCATGATTTCTATTTTTACTGAATTCAGGTGGAACTTTATGCAAATCAGGTCTGACATGAACCTTCTAACAAACATGGGATCGTTGATCACCCTACCACCACGAATGGCAGCAGAAACCTGCAGAGTCTGACTCCAGATAATAAGCAAACTCTTCCACTAGAACAGGACATCAGCGATGCTGCCATCAGCTGCATGTGGCCTTCAGACATTTGACTCCCCCTCCTCGTGTGTGTGCCTCTCTTTTGCAGGGGCCCCTCTTGCATAGATTTTAGCAGCAGTCACGTCATCAGCTCACTGTCCAAATGCCAGCCAGCCTCCCCTCGTGCGTCCCCTCTCTGGGGGAGTTTATTCCCTGCCTTGTGTGCGCTTCAGCATTCAGAATGTTGCGAAAGAGCCGCCTTCGTTTGCACAGACAGCGAAAGCGGATGTGGGAGGCAGACCCTCCCCTCACATCTGCGGGGAAACGATCTGTCAAAATTAGCGAGGATAAAACAATGACAGACATGTTTTGGGAGGATTTCGTTGTTAACGAGCTGAACTGTGATCCGCCGCTGCTGTGATGTCTTACATAAGACCCTCTCTGTTTTCTGTTGCATCTGCCGGATTTACCTGAGCCGCACAATCCGCAGGCTGCCGTTATCCCTGCGATCATTCCCACTTTTTCTGCATGCAGAGCGCAAAATGTCACAAAGCAGGGGCCCTGTCTGCCATTCGCACAGAGTTGAGTTTATACCATTCCACTTACCCTCTCTCGCTTTTAGCAGTACAGTGTTGGCTACTATGTTCTCCAGCTCCATGAAAAGCTGAAAAATCCTGAATGCAGAGGGTTTTTTTTTTCGGTACTCGAGCGTCTGCAGCGAGAACAGCGTCCTTTCCTGCTGGCACGGCGCGATCTCCTCGATTTCACTCCTCGACGATATCCGAGCAAATTTCACTCCTATCAAAGTCGTAAAGGATAAAACAGGATGTCATAGATTTGCTTGCAGTGTAAATTGGGCATGGTTCTTGTTGTGGGCTGGAAGTACGGCGCTGCATTTCGACTCCAATTCCCCAAAAACCGTTCCATGCGTGTTTTGGATGCCAGATCTCTCCGATGCAGAAAAGCATTAACTTGGAGGAATCCGATGTTGATGAAACCGGGTTGATCTGAGGAGATCCTTCACTCGGATACAGCAGGAGAGCAACAGCGGCGGCAGGGGTTGGCTGAGTGCACCAGAGAGGACACCAGAGCGCCCCCTCCTCCGGAGTTGGTGCGTAATCAGGCTGGGCCTAAATTACACAGAAGCGTCAAGACGCACTGATTAACGCCACCGGAACGTTTCACCAAAATAAAAGCTCTGCGACTATTGTGACTTATCTGGCTCCTGATCTCTCCCTCACCCCTCAATAAGGTCACATGGGCTGGTGTCTACCTCCAGCAGTCATGAGAAACCGGGGGACACCTTGGACAGGTCTCCTGTCCATCACTAAGCCACACAGGGAGACCAACCAGTGACATTCACTAACAACTACGGATAAATTAGTTTACTATTATTTTTTTAACATGCGTGTCTTTGGTCTGTGGGAGGACAACACGAGCACCCGAAGAAAACACATGCATTCACGGGGAAAACATGCAAACTCCACACTGAAAGGCTGCAAAGGGGGATTCAACCAGTCAACCTTCTTGCTGTGTTACCAACTGCACCACCATGTGGCCCACATCTGGATCTCGGAAATTTAAAAAGCATAAACTACCCAAAAATAACAGATATTAACAAATTATTTTTGGCAAGCCATGCAGCATCTTTACAGTTCCTATTGCAGGACTGTGTATATGTGAAAATACTTAATAACCCTGGAGTGATTTTTGCACATGATCTACTTTAGCATAATTCTGCCATTAGTACAAGATCACTCAAATGACAGCTTGGCTAAGTTGATATTTAGCAGCTTTTAAAATAACTATATTTTGCATCTCGTGTTGATTTTTGTTTGGAAAAACTACCCTGGGGAGAGTTTGGCAAACCCAGTCATTTGTAAATGCAGCCATTGCTTTTCCATAAGCTGCAGTCTGCATAAGGGCTAAAGCTCAAGTGTACATTCATGACACAAACCCATTTTGATTTAAAGAGAGCAGCTTTAGAATGGGCATCTAAGTCATTCAGACCTGGCAGAAAAATAAATCTACACAAATGCAGCCTTTCCAAATAATATAAAAAACTTTTAATTCAGCAAGAGCCAAAAATCATCTGTGTTAAAACTAAATAGGACCTATCAGCTTAGCTATGCTCAAATAAATTTTAATAAATATTTAAAGCTGCATTAATTAAAACCAGTTGCCAGCTACTATAATTGTGTTCATGTTTAAACCTTTTTTCTTAAAACACAACATTACTACGAAGGTTAAAATGTGTTACTGATAAGAATGCTCTTGAAAGGGTATTTCTGTTTTTTTAAAGTGCATTTTAGTTAAAAGGTTGTGAACAATTAACATCTTACATGTTGTCTTTAAACAACCTCAGATTGGAAAAACGCAGAGCGCCTCCTATAGAAAGAACATGCCAATGGCTGGTCTGAAAAGGGCCGGTTGCGAAGCATTCCTGCTGTCTTAAGTTAATACTCATATTAAAACATTAGGGGTTTATAAAAGCATTATTTAGTTCACTTTTTACATAGAACTCGGTTATTTGCAGCAGAAATTAGCTGTGTGGCTCTAGCACCATAAGCTGGGATGTCATAACTCTACCAGAATAACTGTGTGTGAAAATTACAGTGGTGAAAGCGATTAAATATCATCTCCAAAAGTGCTTTAAAGTGTTGGAGACAAATGGTTTTAAGATGCTCTGCAGCCCTGTTTAGTCAAGCCGTTAACTCGTCTGTTTAATCAGAACTAATCTGTTTCTCCAAGAGAACAAGAAATCAACTCTTCCACATAATCCCACTTTCCAAGATGGTGTAAAGCCTTACGGGGAAGAGTTTTATTTTGAAAGCAGACAGGAAATCACAGTTCTAAGAATAAAAAGCTTGATCTCACATAAAACTCAAATTTTCCTCCTGTTCTCTACTGTTTAATAAAAGAACCAGATGAAGTTTAGAGTAGATGCTGATGCAACAGAAGCTGCTCCCTGCCCGTTGCATCATCATCATCATCCATCCAGACTTATAGGGACTGATGAAGCCTAATAGGATCGATTTCTCCAACCCGTCCTCTCTACAACAGGAAGCTGTCCGATGCACTGATATGCTTCAACTCAATTATCCAAATGAAATCTGCCTCTAGTGAGTACATGGAACAAGAGAACAGCCATGCTGAATCTGACGGTAATGCTGGTGGGGTTGGGTTCTTGCAGGGGGTTTCAGGGATTTTTATTTCTTTCCACAAGCATATGCTCCATAAATACAAACTAAAATCTTTATTGGTGGAAAGTAATGTTTGTCAAAAGCAGACTCACAAATCTCCACAACAGAAGACATCATAGCAAAATAATATAATCACAAAGTGTTTCTGTGAAAGGATTACCAACATAATGATCATGATCCAATAACATTTAATGCGCTGACATGAATTACCAAAAAATAAAACAGCAGATCATCTTTTCCTTTTAAATCAAAATATTCAATACTAAATGAAAATTAAATGATGCCGTCTTTAGCCAACTGGGAATTAAAAGACAAAAACACTAATTTCCAACGTAAATGTAGCAGTCTGATACAAACTGAGAAAGACGCTCGTGAAAAATGGCGACATCAGTACTCGTCCATGTTATCCGCTTTGGGAATGGAAAGGCCTCGGTCCTTTAGCACCTGCATTTTGACCTTCTCCGTCTCCTGCTTGGTTTGCTGCTGCTGTCGCTGCTCCTCCAGGATCTCCTCGATGGAGACCTGCTGCAAGACCGTGTCACAGGGTTTATCCACATCCTGCAGGGATGCAGACACATCCAAGGTCAAACAGCAAACTCAAAGCCAACTTGTGGCTAAGTGATACTAAATGTTCTGGCAGGCTTGCATCCCTCACACGGTTCAAACTTCCACTCTTGTACTAGTCTGAGTTGTGATGGCTAGTTGTTTAAGTGAAGAGCAGCAAACCTGTCATATAGAGGGAATCACTGCCTAACAGCTTATTTTCAGCTATTTAAATTGAAAATAAATTAGTAATGAGTGATAAGTGAGTAACAGGACATAACTTAATTCTTCCATGAAGCTCAAAGCGATGAGAACATCTTGCAAAGCAAAATTAAGATGCCCATCCTTACATACATGTTGGTAAAAAGAAGTGTCACTGTGTGCTGTAGACGCTCCACCAGTACAGGCTGTACTGGTGTCAGTGCAGATTTGCATGATGTACATTTGTAGAGCGAGATAAGTTGGAGATCATGAGTCACGCTTGTTCTGTGTGCTGGCCTAGAAGGTCCTCAGCCCCTGGAATGGGTCACTGCAAAGATCAGCTCAAGAATCTCTCTCACAAGTTAAACTTCATAACCCTAAATTACACCAGGAGAGTAAAAAAAAAATTACTCACAAAAAGATAAATATAGAAATCAGCTGTGAAAATAATGGATAAAGTAGTAAAATTCAATCATAGACGCTACATAAACGGTTATATTTTTAATTGGCCCCTCTGCAATGAATATTTCGTTTAAAACAAAATCAAAATCTGTTCACTGGAGGTAAAACCCCAAGATAGCTTTCCCATAAGTCCGCTCATACCGAGATTACCACCCACCCCCCCTCAACTAAACATTACTGAGCTTTAAATCCTTAAAACAGCACCTGTATCATTAAGTAGTGATAATAGTTTCTCTGCATTACCTAAAAATATGCATATGAGCCATTTATCTTTAAGTCTTCACCCATTACATCAGCCTGCCAAGGAGCGCAGATTTTAATCAAATTACAATACTGGGGAAAAGTTCAAGTAAAGTAAGAGTAAAATACAGATGTCAAATAGTGCATTGTCCTTTTTTGTCAAAGTTTACCAAGCATTGTAATCAAAACAGCATGTGACTTTAAAAATAAATATATTCTCCCGTTTATTAAATTTGGCTCTAGAAGAAATTTGCAAAGCTTCATTTCTGAGATCAAGTCAAACTATTCAGAAAAAGACCCATTTAAGCACAGATCTCCCTACAAGGTTTCCATAGCGTCTAAGGAGGAAATGCTTATTGCAGTTCTTTATTTTCTCCACACTACAACACTGTTGCACCCATCCATCCGTTATCAGTACCTGCTTGTCCATGCAGGGTGGTGGAGAGCACTGTTGCATCAGCTGATCTAGACATCTGTCTATTTACTCTGGGTAGGAACGGTGTCTGTGTGAATCACTTCAGCTAACCAAAGCCAGCTCAGCAGTCTGCTGCTGTGCAGCAATGTAAAACTCTATAATCTAGTTTAAAGTGTGTGATGAGGATAATTCTGCTGAGTAAGCGCTGGACTTCATCATGAGATCTAAATACGATCCCGACTGTCCACCGCAGGTAAGACGCCAACTACTCATTAGCTGCTTGGCAGAAAATTACTTGGAAAAAAATCTGAATTTTTCCCAGTTAAACAGAAAAATGTGCCCTGAATAATATAAGACATAATATAAGCAGGTAGCTTATTTAATACTACTAAAACAGACCTTAAAGGGCCAGTTCTCATCTTTTTAAGTGGGACGGATGTGGAAAAGTTGTAGACCGCTGATATCCAACTTATTGACTGTAGCTCATAGAATTGCTTTGGTTCGGAGAAACTGATTAGTTATGATTGAGCATTAAAGTGAAAAAAAAAGTCACAAATTCTCATCTTCAAAATTTCTCAGCATATTAAAAAGTGAATATTCCCTTAAATGTGTGTTTATTCCAGCAGAATCATAATAAAATTCCAGCCAAAAAAATGTTACAATAGCTGGAGATGCAGTTCATTTCTGTTAATTTCCCACAGAAATGCTCCAAGAGGTGCCGTGCATTTAACAAAATAGAAGTTGCATGGAATACTATAAAATATTTTGGGTTTGGTTAATTTGGCAAAAACACTTTGTGACCCCACTCGGACTAGCCATAAGCGTGTGTTACTCCGTCGAAAACAACATTTTTCTCCAAGCTGTGGCTGTTCCAAACACCACCTTTAACTTCTCATACGTCATCACGTGCACTCTGTGTGAGGTATAACTCAAAGTAAAAATTAAGGAAGAATGTTTATGCAGAAATAAAGAATGTCTTCTTAATTCATTTCCATTTGCTGACCCCATTTTGGGATAGGGACATAATAAATGAAGTATAAAAGATCTAAATAAAAATATCTCAGATTTTAAAAAATGAGCTTACTATCTCTCCAAGCAGAACTACATTTTCTCCTCTGACGATGAAGATGCCTCTGGGGATGTCACCAAACTTTTTCCCCACGTGGATCCTCTCTACGGTCTGGTGAAACACCAGATTGGCTGAAGAACAGAAGCAGAAAATCAGTTGAAATGAAATATAAGGTGCGGAGATCATCAGCTGACCGATTAATTAGAAATGCTTCCATCTGTATTGACGCGGAGTTAGAAAACAAAGTGGACTTTTAAAAATAAGAGTACCAAACTGGTCGATGCTTCTGAGGTAACCAATCAGCGTCCTGCCATCTCGGAGCAGCACCAGGTGCTTTTCTGCAGGAGGAAAACAAAACATGAACGTTAGATATGCGTTTTACTCGCTTGTGTACGTAAATATCGAGACTCAAACATTTTCTACTAAACCATGTCAACAACTACAAAATTCAGCTTCTGGCTTACTGTCAATGTCGTCAATAAGGCTTGCAGTCCCCGGTACGTAATTCATATTGGTCTTTAGGTTTTCTCCGTTTTAATATCCCTGTGTTCCGTCAAGCCATGAATGTTTTAAAATGTTTATTGAACAAGACCACAGGAAGTGTCTTTATACATGCTCACGGTGAACTTCCTGTAAACGTTTAACCCGTTCTTTTTTGGTGGTTTTTGGCTGTTGGCAAATGTTTGACTACCGCCACCTTCTGGCGTGGAGTGTTACAGACGGTGCATGCGTGCACATACCATGCATTATACTCCCTAAATAATAATAATAATAATAATAATAATAATAATAATAATAATAATAATAATAATAATAATAATAATAATAATATAATGGTAATATTATTATTATTATTATTATTATTTGGATTCAATCTCTTCAAATAATAAAAAGGCTGTAAAAACAAAAGACGTAGTTGATACATTTAAACTGTAAAATGTATTTTCTTCTTTCTTTTCCCTTGCGTTTTATAATAAGTTAATAAATTTATAAGTATACTTACCTCACTCTTGATTGTTCTGTAAAATTCACTGTTAATTTTGATGTATAGGTGATGGGAAATTGTAAAAGCAAATTTTGTATACTCTTCCTCCTCTATCTGCTTCCTCTTCAGCACATCCTGAGCTCCTTCAAAGGAATCTCCTACCATCTTTATGCAGATGACATCCAACTGTACATCTCCTTTGAGCCCCATGAGATGTCTAAGCTGCAGCTGTTACACACCTGCTTAGACTCTATCAAAACCTGGATGGCTGGGAGCTTTCTTCAGCTGAATGAAGATAAGACTGAGATCCTCATCTGCGCCCCAGACAAGCTGGTTCCCAAAGTCAGAGACTCTCTTGGTCAGCTTGCTTCCCACACCAAACCTTCTGTCAGGAATCTTGGCATGACCTTTGACCCAGCTCTCACCCTGGATTCTCATGTCAGTTCTCTTGTTCGCTCTTCCTTCTTCCATCTCAGGAACATTGCTAAGCTGAGTCCCATTCTGTCTCCGTCTGAACTTGAGACAGTTCTCCACACCTTCATCTCCTCACGCATTGACTACTGTAACTCTCTTTTCACGTGTCTGAGCAGAACCTCCCTGAACCGTCTACAGGTGATTCAGAATGCCTGTGCTCGGCTTCTGAGAAAGTCCTCCAAATACACCCACATCACCCCGCTTCTCCTCCAGCTTCACTGGCAGCCAGTCAACTTCAGGGTTCATTTCAAGATCCTGGTTCTGGTCTATAGGGCCTTACATGGACAAGTGTGACGCCCACAAAGTGTGGTCACATACTTTTGTTAAAACATTTAGTGGTGTAATTTAGTAAAAGTAATAAAATAAGAATAGGAAAGTGTGGGGTGCAATACCGGGGTTCTCCACAAGGTGGCGGGGGGATGCGAGACGGCTAGTGGAGCTCTGTGTCCCATCTACCGTTATTCGGGAGCAGCAGTTCACAGAAAACACTCCATTCTGATGTCTCTGTCTCTTTTTTTTTTTTTTTTGCATTTCAGGCACCCGGACATTCCCTCAATAATTTCTATTTAAGCTGTTAGTGGGGATTGTGCCGGCCCGATACCTGCAACATAAGCACCATCTTACATTGGTGATCTTCTTAGTCCCTACACCCCCAGCAGGTCCCTGAGGTCCAGTGATCAAAGCCTACTGGTTGTGCAGCGCACCAGGCTAAAGACCAAAGGTGACAGGTCATTTGCTGCTGTGGCCCCCAGACTCTGGAACTCTCTCCCCCTGAGCCTGAGATCAGTGGACTCCGTGGTCTCCTTCAAAAAGCAGCTGAAGACTCACTTGTTCAAGCTGGCTTTTGTTTGACCTTCTTCACCACTTTCTCTTTACTCTGCCCTCCCCACCTATTCCACCTTCATCAGGATCTGCTGATTTCCCTCTTTCCTGTTCACTCTCTCTTTCTTAACATTTTTCTTTTAAATCGCAATTGCTTATTCTTGCTCATTTTAAATATTTTTTAAACATTTTCTAAATGCTTTTTTATATTTTTACATTTTTTTATTTTTTGTTTTTGTGAAGCGCCTCGTGATTTTTATCTTGAGAGGTGCTATGATATTTTCTTCTTCTTCTTCTTCTTCTTCTTCTTCTTCTTCTTCTACAACTTTGGATAAAAATCTGATTTTTTTAGCACTATAGCATGCTTGCTGGGTCTAGCCCTTTGACTCCAGACAACCATCTATACATAAATACAGTTTTAAATGTTTTTAGCTAAATAATGGGAGAAAAAAGACTTTTAGAGTAGCTCCCCTATTGCTAACAACATCCCATTGTATTTTTTAAACAATTTAAAGTTATTTGTACTGAGTAACTATTGTAACTGTATGAATATAGTTCATTTTTGTATTTCTACCGTTCATCCTTCATGTTCATTTTCCCAAGAAGACAAAAACAAAGATTACGTCGTTTTTCGGGTTTAACTGAACTAACGTGTAGTTCAATCTTCTTGCCACTGGAGGGCGCTCGCTCCCCATCTCCCAATCTCTTTCAAAAGACTTGCTGTGTCTAGTTTCTAATTCCATTTTTAGTTGTTTTTTTATAACCTTGCTGACAGTTTTGTTTGCCGACTGCTAATGTTTTACAGTCGGCAAACGAAACTGTCAGCAAGGTAAAAAAAATAAAAAATAAAAAACATTTTCTGTGTTATAAAAAAGAACTAAAAATGGAATAAGTGTAGTTCTAGCTTGATGCCACTGGACGGCGCCAAAACCCTCCTCGTTCAGTGTAAAAGTTTGTAGCGCTGTAGCTAACCAGCTAACTTAGCCCTTGGACTCCACACCATTCTAAGTACAGTTTTACCTTTAATTCTAGCTAAATAATGATCGAAAAGACTGTTAGAGTGAGTGACACGGTCTATATGTCTGTGGTTGCTGACCCCAAAATGCGAATTTACAGAAATATTTCTAAGTAACTATTGTTATTTTATAAATATAATTATTTCTACTCTTCATCCTTTATATTAATATCCTGAAGACAATATTATGATTTTTAACAAGTTAATATTTTAAAAACACTTTAGTGTCGCATTTAATTTCACAAAAAAATTATATTTGTTTTCATTAGTGGTTGGGTTTTTCATTTAGACAAAGATCGTATATCGTGGGAAAAATTAGTTTTAGTCTTAAAATTTATGAATGAGATTATATTTCCAATCCACTTGCATCGTAACCACTCCTTTGATGTCATAGTTGTGATAATTTTAGTTTTAAGAAATGTTTATTTGATCGTGGCAATGCTGACCCCGCAGTAACGTTAACAGCATCAGAAATTGGCATCGGCGTGAAGCATCTTAATATTTGGTGAATCTCTGTTTTAAAGAGACAGGCTTGGGTTTCCCCTAGCCTCGCGTCATTGACTCATTTCCTGATTTCAATCAGACGATTTGTACTTCTGAGTAGAAACACCTTGGACTTGCTGGTGTTTTAGACCAGTAACTCTTATCTTATTAAAGGTTTATTTATGGAAAATGCTGCTCAAGGGGACTGCGGATGGGGAATGCGCGTAGCTGATGCACCAAATGCATTCAAATCTTAAACCAGACTGGCCCTCTACTTGTAACTCGGAAAATCAGCACGGAACCTGGAGTAACAACATGGTGAGTAGACGAAAACGACACAGATAAGTTCAACGGCTACAATAAAAAGTTCATGAGTTTATTATCGACTAAAACCGACTTCAATTAGTATATAAGTCATACCGGAAGCGAGTTAGCTAGCGTTGCTCGTGTTAGCGGAGTGGCTAACTTGGCTAGTTGGCGTTATGTAATAGCACGAGCTAGTTAAGCTAACTGTTTTTATATTTTCAGCTTGATAATAAATCTTTTGAGACACCAAAATTTCAGCGGCAGTGATGTTTAATTTATACTTTTTGTATTTATTTATCGTCCCTTCAAGGATACACAGCCACGTTGAAAGAAGAATGTTGACTCTAAAGTTAATTGTTGGACTTAAAGATAATGTTTGGGGTGTTTTCTTTTATTAGTTATAAAAAATATCTCTTGTGTTAACAGGATTCTCCTCAGTATCCAGGATATGCGTCACATTACTGGTATCCACAGTCTCATTCCACTGGGCACTATGCAAACACCTATCCCTCTGGATCAGATGTTCAGCAGCAGTACAACCCACAGGTACAGCTCCTTGTGCAATACAACCTATCCTCTCTAAGCCACAGCTAATAGGATGATAGGTCAATAGAATCCTTGGTCTTACCTAATATGTTTATCTTTATGTTAAGTACATTTTTTTTTACTCATTGCGTCTCTTATTTTGTTGTTCGTGTAGCTGATGCCTGGAGGATATCCAAATGGCCACGGAGTTTACAGCCCTGCACAAAGTCAGTATTCAACAAGCAGTTTCCACGCATCAAACCCCTTCTACTGTGCTGACCATCCAAGAAATTCTTATCCCAACCAAGGCTGTGCTACAGAGCAGGGTAGTGGGGCTTCTGGGCCACCATACCCTCAGCACCAACACCATCACTATCCTGGCCCACACTGTCAAGGCGTGAGTGGGTTTTTGCAAGTTTTCACATAGCTAGTAGATGCCAGGTGGGAGATCAACCCTAAATGTAGCCAGTACTGGTAGAAATATGACTAGAGTATTGTTTGGAAAACAAGTGGTTTGTTTCTTTTGCCCTCAGGGTCCTGGATATCCTCAAGGGCATTATTCACACTACAGTGAAGGTGGACATGCAGTTCCTCCAAATCCACCATATCCCACTGGGCAGCCTCCCCATCCCACCTCTCAGGCTGAAGCTTGGGGTCACTCAGGTCAGTATGCTCCATCACCACAACAGTGGCAGCATAGACAGCAGCCTTCACAAAGTCCCTATGGTAACCCTGTCCGACCGCCACATCCCCCAGCGTGGCCTGGTACTGGAACTGGTGCTCCACCACCCTATCAGCCTAAAGTAAGAGTCCGCTGCTTTTTCTCTGTAGTTTGTGCATTTTGCTTTTTCTTTTTTAATCAAACAAAAATGACTTAAGAGCCGGGAATTTAATCAGATAAATTCCACTTTCTCTTCTAGGACCAGCGCGCCCCTCATGTGGGACCGAAACCCCGACCAGCACTGTCTCCAAATTCAACCAATGGAAAGCCTGCTGAAATAAGTTCGCCTCCCCAGATTTACAACAAGAATGGGAGAAGCGATCCCAACCCCTTACAATCTGAGACTCCACCAGCTCCTGGTCCTGCCGGACCTCAGCCCCTGAGCGACAATCCTGGGCTTGCTAAAGTCCAGCAGGTTCTGGTCAGAGTCCAGCTGCTTCAGGAAGATGTTGATGAGTTTGTCGGCAAAAAAACTGACAAGAGCTACCGGTGTCTAGAGGAACTGTTGACCAAAGAGCTGCTGGAGCTAGACTCTGTGGAGACTCAGGGACAGGAGAGTGTTCGTCAAGCCCGTAAAGAGGCTGTTCAGAGAATCCAGACCATTCTGGACCAGCTGGAGAGGAAAGCTTTCTGAACTGGACTTCCTTTATTTCCCCATGGGTTGCTGTCTTTTCCTCTTTCAGATCTTCCATGGAATAATTGAAGGTTCAATCTTCTTCTGTAAAGGTTTAATGTTGGTTTTTTTTTCTCCCACCACAATGTTATAAAATATCTTAGACATGAAACAAACAACAAGGTGGAGCAGTTATCCAAGACTGGAAACATTCTCTAGGTAGTATGTCTGCTGGTGTTAAACACAAGAATTGTTTTTTGTATGTCATAAGTGATTTTCAGCCTCCACTTGTGAATGTGCTGACACTGTTGCACATTTTACTTTTTACATCACACCTTTAATGACAAAATCCCAGCTCTTAGAATTTGTTTTGTGCCACATTGCAGCTGTTTGTGGTCTTGAACTCTTGATAAATGTTCAGACTGCCCCTCAGGAATGTGGCTCGGTTTTTAGTCTGATCTGATAGTAACACAATCACTTCACAAGCAACATTTTAGTCCGTTTGCATGATCATAATATTCTTCTCTCTTGTGATGGATTCAGTCAGCTTCCTCTCCGTTTCTGTTGTGCTCCTAGTCTTGCACGTTCTGAAATGACAGATAAGCCCTCAGTCGTATTTCAGAGCCAATTATTGAGGCCAGAGTGTAGCAGATTAGTGAAACCCCCCACAGATTGCTGTCCTCGTTATCCCTTCTTTTTGATGACGCAGCCTCCATACACGGACCTAGAGTCAAACCTACACATGTATTTTTGCCCTAGAAACTAATATAGATGGATAAACAAGTCATTGAAAAGGTTTCTTGTATTTTCTACAATTATACATAAATATATAAAAAAGAATGAAGCTTTAGCACTTTCTGTCAGGTTTTGTGTTCATACACACTGTTGCTCAAAGTGGGTTCATCAGATGAACAACGATCCGTGCTTCAGTTCCTTGTCTCGTGTAAAGTGAGTCAATTTTTCCCCTTTGTCTCCATTAAACTCTTATTTAGGGGGAAAAAGGAACGAAAAAAAGTGCCATATTTCAAATAATGGTTTGATATAATTAGAAAAAAAACGATTAAAGAAGAAATGGGAAAAAAGTTTGCATGAAAATAAAATCTCCTGTGTTCATTTTAGGTTAGCTTCTGCTGTAATGCATGTAACACAAGGTGGAGGTCTTTTCCTGATAAAATCTGAAGTTCATGCAAAGAAGGAAAAAAATGACAAACATCAAATATTTTTGTAAACTGTTCTCAAAAGAAGTTTGTTTCACACATTTTTTTGAATATTAAATTGTTTAAGTTAAAATTAAATCCAAAGTAATTTGTCTTGTTCAGAGAAAAATATTTAGAAGCAGAAACTTGCCCAGTAATACACCCTCCCAGCCAGCATTCACACCTTTAAATAGACCATTGCAAAAGCATAACACACGCCCCCCTTGCAGGATTGAGCCATGCAGGCTGGATTTAATGGGTCAAATGTCCTCACAGCATCCAGGACATTCAGGGCTGTGGTGAGTAGATCAGAGGCTAAAGGCACCTTTATTCATTTCTGACACAACGGCTGCAGAGGAAACTCACTGGGCCTGAGCTGCTTTTTCTGTTTGGTTGTGGTCTTAAAGAATATATTTAGGCATTTGAAGACTGAAATGAAAAAAGTTAAGTTGTACACATCCAAACTTCCCGCCTCTTGGAATGATGAGCGGCCTCATCGGAAAGTGGAAATCGATCTGAGCTCACCTGGGCTGGCAGTGTTTGAGTTGGAAAAACTCCTGTTCACAGGAAGGGTCATCATCAGCCATGCAGACGAGGTGTGGCCAAGGCTTTACATCGGTGACCAGTAAGAAACACCCTTGTTCTTCTACTGGAACTTTATTTTTATATGTATCTGAGACACAGATAAAGAAATTTTGGATCCATTCCAAACAATTGGAATAGAAACTGTTTGTAAATTAAATTTAAAACAGGAATGAGCTCTCAAATTACATTCTCCATTGGGAGCTTAAGTAAACTACAGCTCTGCTATGTGAAACTTCCTAATGATGCCAGGGGCATGAAGCCTTATCTCGGGTTTCTAATATCTCCTAACTCACTCGCTTCATGTTTTCCATCAGTCACAGGAATATGTTACACACCTGCTGGATGGTGTATCATCCATGCATCATGTAAGATTCTGTGTGTTTCAGACAAAGTGCAGAAAACGTGTCTGATCTCTCCACGCGTCGGTTCACTCACATCCTGAGCGCAGCTCACAGCGACAGACAAGGACAGCCACAAATCTACGAGGGAATGAATATCACCTACATGGGCATCGAGGCCCGGGACGCCTATGACTACGACATGAGCATCAACTTCCAGGCAGCTGCAGATTTTATCCACCGGGCGTTAAGCAGAGGAGGTAAGGAGCAAACAGGACAGAGCATTCACCGTCCAAGCAATGAAAGGTGCTACCTCATTTTCTCTGGGATTCTCAGGTAAAGTTCTGGTGCACTGTCATGTGGGAGTCAGTCGCTCGGCAACCCTGGTTCTGGCGTACCTGATGCTGAAGCAGAACCTGACTCTTGTGGAGGCTGTTTGTGCGGTGAAAGACAAGCGGGGTGTGATTCCTAATAGAGGTTTTCTTCGGCAGCTCATCAAACTGGATGGACAGCTCTTTGGCTCACATCGCTGATTCCCACCTGTGTGTGAGTCCATGGGAAGAGCGAAGGTTTACTCTCAAAAGACTCATTTATTCAAGTGGAACTGTTTTACAAAGAAGCAATCTCAATAATTAAAGTTTTTGCAGATAAAACTCGCTGATCACAGCCCTGAGTGTTAGATCTGATCGCGTAAAGCTTTGCTCTCTGGTTGTTTCCTGTGTTTAAAATCAGCTGATTTGACAGTTTTGTTTTTATTTATTAAAGTTTAAATGATATTTTTATTCTGTGCTTGCTGTTTTGGACTTTTTCAACACTCACGTACAGCGTTTTTCCAACTTTACCATGAAAATTTAATTAATGTGAAATTATTAATACATTTGCAGGACAAGCGAGCATTGCTATGAAAGTTTTTTTTGAGAAAACAAAACAAAATTTTTACCTAATTTTATCACTTCTATCTTTATCATTTGACCCTGTAAATGTGACGTTATTTTTAAAGTAAGAATATTTTTGCTAACAAAGCCTAAAGTTAGTCAAGACCAAACAATGTCAAACACTTTATGTATGAAAAATCTCAGTTTTATCAAAGAGTGACAACATTCCCCTTCTCTCAGCTCCCCAGTCCTGCACTCTGCTTCTCATCAGGTAATCAGCTCACTTGTTCTCTCTTCACTTTGCAATCACCCTCCCACAGTTACTGCTCTTGAGATCCTCCTGATTTCAGAAGCATTGGTGCATCTTTGTCTATGAGGATTTCTAGTCAGCCTCTTTTTAACAGATGATGTGTAAGAAGAGGAACTCCTCCACCTTTACATGGTGTTTCATCAGAAGTTGAACTCTACTACAGCCACCAGAGAGAAACAGAGGTTAGGGCTGTGAAGTGATACTGGATCACGGGAGAGTCAAACTGCACACGGACTGGGCAATATAAACCAGTGAGAGAATTTAGAAAACTAATTTATTAGCAAAATTAGACTATCCTAAAATTTCATTTAAAAAGCTATAGACTCCACTGTTCCTGTGGGTGCAGTCTGTAGTTGTGGACATAGGGTTTCACTTTCACTTCCTGTTTCCACGCTGACAGCCTTTGCTTTGTCCTGATCACTACTGTGATCTTCAGCCTGACCTACTTGTGCTCACATAAGTCACTTTCGCCCTAATTAACGTCGCAAAAGCACACAGTACGGATTAAGCACCCTTGGAGAAATACTTCTGATTGTGCAAGCCACGTCCAAGGCCAGCTTATAATTTCAGAGGCCATAGAGTCCCCAGCCCCCCCACCATCCTAAGATTTCCTTCCCATCCCTCTTCTGTCTCAGAGAGTTTCTTTTCAGTCATTTGCATTTCAACTGTCCAATGTCTCAGGGTAACAACAACACAAATAAATAAAAAGCAAGACTCCTTTGAGACTGCTCCATAGTCAGTCTTGGATCAAGGATCAAGGAATGAAGTAACGTCCAGTAGCTCCTGTGTGACTGGAATGCTGCATTTATCTTCAGTGTAGGCAAGAGCTCTTGACTTTATTTCCTTAGTACCTTAGTAAGATCTGTGTCCTCATCCTTTTCAGTCAGAGATGATGTTCTCAGGAGATGAAGACCTTCAGGTATGACTTACATTTGCTTCATTAGACAGGGTACATGCACGTTCCTGAAGAGGTCTGATGGCATTGTTGATTTATTCTTCAGACAGAACCCTTGCTGCGCTCCAGCACCCTCCTGTCATTTTTTGCCTTGAGCCCCATCTTGTCGCTTGCCCTGTAATTAGTGAGTTGTTGGGTAAATTTTATTCTTGCTGTGCCTTGCAGTGCTGTCTTCTTCTTCCAGCTATGAGAGAGGACAAACTTTCTGTTCAAAAAGTAGAAGACTGAAAATGTTATCATGATAATGGCAGACTTTGCAATGCAGATTTTCTAATAAGAGACCAAAGGAAATAAAAATATATAAATTTATTAAAAGCAAACCGCTATCTCCTCCTTGAACCATCACCTTATCGTGGTGGAGGAGTTTGAGTGCCCTAATGATCCTAGGAGCTATGTTGTCTGGGGCACTTTGTGCCCCTGGTAGGGTCTCCCATGACAAATTGGTCATAGGTGAAGGGTGAGACAAAGAACGGTTCACAGGATCTTTCATGGAGGTACAGTCAAAGAGTCGGAGTACCCGGCCCGGAGGGTTACCGGGGTCCCACCCTGGAGACAGGCCTGGGGTTGGGGCCCGTGAGCGAGCGCCTGGTGGCCGGGCTTTCACCCATGGGGCCCGGCCGGGCCCAGCCCGAACCGGATACATGGGCTCATCTAACTGTGGACCCACCACCCGCAGGAGGAACATGAAGGGTCTGGTGCAGTGTGGATCGGGTGGCAGACCAAGGCGGGAGCCTTGGCGGTCCGATCCCCGGACAAGAAAACTAGTTTTTGGGACATGGAACGTCACCTCGCTGGCGGGGAAGGAGCAGGAGCTTGTGGCAGAGGTTGAGCGGTACCGGCTAGATATAGTCGGACTCACCTCGACACATAGCATTGGCTCTGGAACCCAAGTCCTTGAGAGGGGTTGGACACGCTCCTTTGCTGGAGTTGCTCCGGGTGAGAGGCGGAGGGCTGGGGTTGGCTTTTTGTTAGCCCCGAGACTCTCTGCCTGTGTGTTGGGGTTTACCCCGGGGCACGAGAGGGTAGCTTCCCTGCGCCTTCGGGTTGGGGAATGGGTCCTGACTGTTGTTTGTGCTTATGGGCCAAATATCAGTTCAGAGTACCCACTCTTTTCGGAGTCCCTGGGACGAGTGCTAGATAGTGCTCCATCAGGGGACTCCATTGTCCTGCTGGGGGACTTCAATGCTCACGTGGACAATGACAGCTTGACCTGGAGGGGTGTGATTGGGAGGAACGGCCCGCCTGATCTGAACTCGAGTGGTGTTTCGTTATTGGACTTCTGTGCAAGCCGCAGTTTGGCCATAATGAACACCATGTTCGAACATAAGGATGCCAATCGGTACACTTGGTACCAGGGCAGCCTAGGTCGCAGGTCGATGATAGACTTTGTAGTCGTATCATCTGACCTGCGGCCGTATGTTTTGGACATCCGAGTGAAGAAAGGAGCGGAGCTGTCAACTGATCACTACCTGGTGGTGAGTTGTATCAGATGGCAGGGGAAGATGCTGCGTAGACCTGGCAGACCCAAACGCATAGTGAGGGTCTGCTGGGAACGCCTGGCAGAAGAACCTGTTAAGACGGTCTTCAACTCCCACCTCCGGCAGAGCTTTGACCACGTCCCGAGAGCAGTGGGGGACATTGACTCCGAGTGGGCCTTGTTCCACTCTGCGATTGTTGAGGCGGCTGTTGCTAGCTGTGGTCGCAAGGTGGCTGGTGCCAGTCGTGGTACCAGAGGTTCGGGGAGCCGTCAGGCTGAAGAAGGAGGCCTACAGGGCGTGGATGGTCTGTGGGTCTCCAGAGGCAGCAGACAGGTACCGGATAATCAAGCGGGGTGCAGCAGTGGCAGTTGCTGAGGCAAAATCTCGGGCGTGGGAGGAGTTTGATGAGGCCATGGAGAAAGACTATCGATCGGCTCCAAAGAGGTTCTGGCAAACTGTCCGGCGCCTCAGGAGAGGAAGGCAGCAACTCGCTCACACTGTTTACAGTGGGGATGGGGAGCTGCTGACGTCAACTGGGGCTATAGTCGGACGGTGGAAGGAATATTTTGAGGAGCTCCTCAATCCCACCTATGCGCATTCCGAGGAGGAACCAGAGCCGGGAGACCTGGGGATGGACTGTCCAATCTCAGGGGCAGAAGTTGCTGAGGTAGTCAAACAACTACACAGCGGCGGAGCCCCGGGGGCAGATGAGGTTCGTCCTGGGTATCTCAAGGCTATGGATGTTGTAGGGCTGTCATGGTTGACACGTCTCTGCAACATTGCGTGGTCATCGGGGGCAGTTCCTGTGGAGTGGTAGACCGGGGTGGTGGTCCCCATCTTTAAGAAGGGTGACCTGAGGGTGTGTTCCAACTATAGGGGGATCACACTCCTCAGCCTCCCTAGAAAGGTCTACTCCAAGGTACTGGAGAGGAGGGTCCGATCGATAGTTGAATCTCAGATTGAGGAGGAGCAATGTGGTTTTCGTCCTGGCCGTGGAACTGTGGACCAGCTCTATACCCTTGCAAGGGTGATGGAGGGGGCATGGGAGTTTGCCCAACCAATCCACATGTGTTTTGTGGATTTGGATAAGGCTTATGACTGTGTCCCCAGGGGCATCCTGTGGGGGACGCTCCAGGAGTATGGGGTGGGTGGCTTTCTGTTAAGGGCCATTCAGTCCCTTTACCAGAGGAGCGTGAGTTTGGTCCGCATAGCCGGTAGTAAGTCGGACCTGTTCCCAGTGAGGGTTGGACTCCGCCAGGGCTGCCCTTTGTCACCGGTTCTGTTCATTACCTTTATGGGCAGAATTTCTAGGCACAGCCGTGGTGTGGAGTGTGTCGAGTTTGGTGGCAGGAGAATCTCGTCTCTGCTTTTTGCGGATGATGTGGTCCTCCTAGCTTCATCCAGCTCTGACCTTCAGCTCTTGCTGGGAAGGTTCGTGGCTGAGTGTGAAGCGGCTGGGATGAGGATCAGCACCTCCAAATCTGAGACCATGGTTCTCGACCGGAAAGGGGTGGCTTGCCAACTCCGGGTCGGGGGAGAGGTCTTACCTCAAGTGGAGGAGTTTAAGTATCTCGGGGTCTTGTTCACGAGTGAGGGTAGGAGGGATCGGGACATCGACAGGCAGATTGGTTCAGCGTCTGCAGTGATGCGGACGCTGAGCCTATCTGTCGTGGTGAAGAGGGAGCTGAGCCAGAAAGCCAGGCTCTCGATTTACCGGTCGATCTACATCCCAATCCTCACCTATGGTCATGAGCTTTGGGTAATGACCGAAAGAACGAGATTGCGGATACAAGCGACCGAAATGAGTTTCCTCCATAGGGTGGCTGGGCTCAGCCTTAGGGATAGGGTGAGGAGCTCGGACATTCGGGAGGGACTCAGAGTAGAACCGCTGCTCCTCCGGATCGAAAGGAGCCAGTTGAGGTGGTTTGGGCATCTGGTCAGGATGCCTCCTGGACAGTAATTAAACACAGTTGTAATGAACCTTGATGATTGACAGTAAAAATAGTTTATTTAAGTGATCCTTTTAAGTCTTGAAATGTCCTCGTCTTGCTGTGGATGGAATAGCAGTCAGATAAGACTGGCAGCTGCAGATTAAAGGGGTGGTAGGTGCAGACTTTGAGTCTCCTGTGAAGGACTATCGAGCATATCGAGCAGGAATCGAGCA